GAGGCTCCTTCTAAAAGAAATCGACATGGCACGGCCATATTGATGACTATTGATCTCATGTTTAGTAGCATACACCTAACGGCAGGCTTCTCTTCTATCTTCTGACCATGCGGGGAGGGGGAAGAGGGAATATTTAGAATATTTATCTCATCAGATCTCAATTTGCACTAATTAAAGGCACTGTTCTTTTGGGGAAAGAGGGGGACAGCAAAATCATATATTGACTCTCTCTCATTGAAGGGAAGTTTAGGAAAACCATTCTCTAGTGGATTTGTGGGGGAAATGCCATAAGGTGAAGCATGCAATCCCCACCAACAGCAAGCTAGGAGCCAGGTTTTGAATGTGTGCTCTTTGCTAGTGGTGTGTGGAGCTGGGCCTGCGATTTCCAGTGGCTGCAGGGCAAGTGAAAGAGAAAACAAAGAGCAGCTCCTTGTGAGCTTGTAAAAGGCCTCATTCTTCAGGGACTCCCTCAAGTCAAACTTTCTCTGACTCTCATGACCCACAGGTTGAGAACCGCTAGTAGGCTCGCCTAAGACCATCGGAAACACATTTAAAGCTTTATGCAGGCAGTCCACTAGGAAGGAATGGCAGCTTAACACACACTTCAACCAAATGAAACAAAAGAATAAAATATTAATATTTTCCATATTAGATTCTTAAAATAATGCTGCTTCTGCTGGGCCGGTGTGGCTCAATGGTCGAGCATCAACCTATGAACCAGGTCACAGTTCCATCCCCGGTTGCAGGTTCGGTCCCCAAGAGGTGGCATGCAGGAAGCAGCCAGTCAATGATTCTTACTCATCATCGATGTTTCTAACTCCCTCTCCTTTCCTCTCTGAAATCAACAAAAAAATATATTAAATAAATAAATAAATAAATAAATAAATAAATAAATAAATAAAATAATGTTGCTCTGATGGATCAAACCAAGTGAATGAAGCCTAAGATTCTGACATTGTAAATTCTGTTATTCCATGGATTGTGATTGTGATTTACAGCAAAAACAGAATGATTTGGAAGCACACATCTAGGAAATGAGGGTTGTATATCCTATTGTGATGACAATATTTTAACAGCAATAAGGATATTATGGATCCCAATTTAGTAGAAAAAAGAAGAAGGACGTCAAAAGAAAATGGAATGGGAAAGAAGTCTCTCTCATCTCTCCACACAAATCCTGCTGGATGGAAGATGGGAAGACAGAACTAGGCAGATCTATTCCTTCTTCTCTCCTGGGACCTCTTTGTGCTTCGGTACCTGCACACATCCTTCTGAGCTACTGCTGCTCTTCTCAGCATAGCATGAAATAGAAACCAGCACAGCCCATCTGAAGAGAACAGGGTGAAAGCCCACCAAAGCCCACACTCTCCTCTCTCAACACCCTTCTCCATAGCAATCTAATCAAACTAATTGCACAAATCTTTAAAATGTTGAGCTTTCAACAAATTAGATTCAACAATCAATTGGAAGTGATTAAATTTCTTTAAACTTTTTTTTTTTTACAGAGGCATTCTGCGGATTACAATGTACCACTGAAAGAATCAAAGGACCCCCATCATATGTGATTGAATGAAAAGTAAGACATCAAATCAAGAATGAAAGTTCTCTTATACAAAGAGAGGGAAGAAGAGGAGAATCCTTTCACATTTCCAGTGCTCAGGGGGGAAATAATTTTCCAAGAATATGAATTATGCCACAAATATAACATAGAATTAGTATGGGGCAGTGAGTAGGGCGTTAACCAGAATACCATATATGCTAGGGAGAACTTGGTTCACTCTGTCCACAAATAAACAAACATTGACCAATTAATACATGCAAAGAACTGGGCTGAGCATTATCCTCCTTGGAGGACACAGATCTATGTCCTTATATTGTCAAATCATTAATCCAAAGAGATTTTGTTGGTTTAAAATTATGAAAACTAAGGAGAACAGTAGTATATTTCTACAAAGATAAGGAGGAATACTAGAATGCATTGGACTCCAATAATTAATGAGACAGAACAAACAGCAGTAGGCACAAGCAACAGCGGGGAATTTATTTTTAGCTCAAACATTAGGCAACGTCATTACAAGCACGATTAAGTCTAGCAATAAGCTGCCAAAACGATTGAAAAATTGCCATCACTGAAGAGATGCAAGACTGCACCAAGGGACACAAGGCAAGGACAGCCTGAGGATAACTAAATCAGGCCTTCGAGGGTTAGAGGGCCGTGTAGATATTGCTCACTCTCTCCACAAATGTAGGTTCTAAAAAGCTTTCACCTGAAATTATCATTCAACTCTCAAATGCTCATCCCTGAAGCAATGCTATGGAGTTATGTTTTGCACATATAATACTAATAATTGTAGCAATCTATAATACTAATCAGATATATAATGCTAATATAATATATATAATATAATTCTTTTAAAAGTACAGATATAGCCATATAGTAATAGGTATCTAATAGTCAGATTTTAGGAAAAGCAATTACAATAATTAGAAATGCAATCATATAAAAAAGTTCTATTGCTGTTTTGCTTTGAGATGTTAAGTGGGTCAAACTACATAGTCACTTTAGAGTACCAAATTTCATCAAAAGCAGTCACCCTCTTGAATATTATATCAGAATAGATAAGCAAATATCAAATACTCTGCTTACAATATACAGAAATCTCCCTGTAGAAAGTGGTATTATCAAATGAAAACAGCAGGTTATGAAGAATCATGATCCCACTGACATATAATTATCAACACAGACATAGTGAAATACCCGAAGAATGGCCATTTAATGTCAATAGTGGGAATATCTGGGTAGTGACATTTTGGATAATTTTACTTTCAACTGTATAGCATTTGTGTGGTTTTTCTATCAGAACAAAACCTCAGGACCCAGACTACTGGATTCAAAATTCAGCTTTATACCATATTGACTGTGTGACCTTGAGCAAGTTACTTAACCTCTCTACGCCTCTGTGACCTCATCTGTAAATGGGAATAGAAACAGCCCCTACCTCAGAGAGCTGCGAGAGGACTAATGTGTTGGCACAGAAGGCACTGAGAGTAGTGCATGGAATACAGCAAGCCCTCGGGACACAGCAGCCAGTCGTAGAAGCAGCAATAGTAAACCAGCTATTTGTAAAATAGACTTATTACATTCATTAAAAGCAGCTGCAAAAGCAACTATTTCATGGCCAAAAGTAAAAAGGGGAGCAAGAAAATTCCACTGTTAAGTTTCATTAACAACCAAAACTCAAAAAAACTAGCGGAACAACTGCAAAGAACACAAAAGGATGTAACGAAGTTGTCTTTAAGAAGACACTTTTTCCTTCAATCCGTTCCCCTTTCTTCAGGAGTCAGCATGCACAGCTGACGGACAGCGCTGAAGAGGTGTTTCAGGCAGTGGCTGCATGTATGCAAGCCTGTCCTTCTAATTTAGTAGCAAGCCAGAAGACATTCTAATGAGGTTAGCATTTGTAGGCCAGAAGATTTGTCCTAATTTTCTTTTCTTTTCTTTTCTTTTTTTAAGAGATTATTTTTAAAGGCTTTGATCTATAAACGCTGGAAAGTTAGTTTTAAATGAGGACTTATATAAACGGAAAATTATATAAACATATTCTTGTTTGCTAGAAGCTGATAATAAAAATGAAGGGTTATCCTAAACCCTGGATTCTCTTCCTTTGAGGGAGAGAGACAAGACACAGAATAAGTGCCCTGGCCAGGTGGATCAGTGGTTAGAGTGTTGTTCTGTATAACAAAAGATTTCAGGTTTAATCCCCAGTCTGGGCACATACAGGAGGTAACCAATTGATGTTTCTCATACTGATGTTTCTCTCTCTCTTCCTCCCTCCCTTACTCCCTTCCTCTCTCTTGAAAACAATTAAAAATACATATCCTTTTGTGAGAATAAAAAAATATACATAAAATATATATAAAAATAAAATATAAATGAATAATTAAGTGAATTAAATAGTATATTAGAGGGTGGTAAGAGCTCTAGAGGAAAGGAACAGGAGGGAGGTGTTGACATTTGAAATGGGGTCGGTAGAAAAGCTGACCTTTGTGTCAGGGTCAGACAAGGGAAAGTTCAACCTATCTTACTCCGTAATTATTTGCTCTGATGAAAATTTTAATCAGCCAAAAACTCCCAGTTAAGACAAGATACTGGTTATCCCCATGCTTCATCTATTCTGACCAACCCTTTCAACTTTGATAATATACAATCCAGTTATTACACAAATTCTGTTATAGACATCATGTGTTGGTATTTATTACTTCACTTTTTAAAATCCAAAAGACATGAGCTTCTTATATAATCTTTTCCATAAATATTTTCAGCAAATAAAAATAATTCTACTGTTCTAGTAACCCAATGTCCATTCACCCATTTTCCAGTAAGAGAACCCAGACTTTCTTTGAAGAACTAAGCCTATCTGACTTGCAGCCAATGTGATTCAGATAGAGTGGGTAGCTCTGGAGTAAGGATATTACCTGGTGCTACTAGTAGGAGTGCCGATCCCCACCCCCCTTTCCTCTCCACTCCCTCCTCCCGAACTCTTACAGCATCAAGTTCAAGAGTGAGCATGTGACCCAAATGACCAAAGAGAACTCTCAGGTGCCAAGACATAGGGCGCAACTCATGGGAAAGAAGCGCTTTTCTTCCTTAGGATGCTAAGGAGTCAGAATGCAGGCCTAGAGGTGCTTGCCACCCTTGGTGAAGAGAAGAAGCAGCTCTGCCTAATGAAGCGAATCTAGAGGTAAGCCTAGCAAAGAAAAGGAATAGATTGGGTGCCTCTGACAATACATTTGAAGTACCTGAACTCGGCCCTGTCTTAAAAATAGGGACCCCCCTTACATTTTTCTCATAGCTGAAGAGTACATTTCCTTTTTCATTTTAATCATTTCCAGCTAGGTTTCTGTCACTTGCAACCACTGGAGTCTTGCCAAATTCAAAGCACCCTTCAGAAAGTGATCTTGGTATTTTCTTTTGAAAGCCAGCAACAAGGGATCCTTACCCGCTCCTGACCAGCAGTATCCCAGATGAGGAATTTGTGAAGTTCATTTCCACAAGGCACAGTTTTGGTCATAAAAGATGCCCTGAAAAAAAACACACAACAGAATCAACATCTCCACATTACCAGTTATCCTCTACAATCTTCACAAAGACTTCTGTTTCAAACAAGTTAACATTGTGCCTAGTTATTTAATTTAACATTAAAGTTCCAACATCATCTTTGTCCTTGAAGGGCCACAAAGAGGAAAGGAGGGCTGTTAGGATTCTGTCAACCAAAAGAAAATACATTTTCTGTTAGTCCAGCTGGAGGCTTTAGAAGAGGAAAAAAGGCAAAGAATGTATTCAAAATACTGTTTCCAAAAACATTTATCTTCAGGTATTCTAAGACAAGATGCCTACGATCATAAAAACAAATAAAACTGTAGATTTTAAAAACTTATTATAACAATTAAGAGTGCAAGGACAGCCGGTATTTGGGCACTTTCCAATCTGGGCCTTGCAATGGCACAAGTAAAAAAAAATTGCCTTGCCCAGACCTACGTGGCTCAGTTGGTTGGGTGTTGTCCATGAAACAAAAGGTTGCCAATTCAATTCCTGGTCAGGGCACATTCCTGGGTTGTGGGTCATCCTGGTAGGGGGCTTGCAGGAGGCAGCCAATCCATGTTCTGCTCTCACCTCAAAGTTTCCCGCCCTCCCTCTTCCTTCTTCTCTCTCTCAATAAAAAATCAATAAAAATATTTTTTAAATAATTACCTTACATCTTTACCTCTGCTATGAATCCCACACTAGCAACACACACACACACACACACACACACACACACACACACACACACATACACAAATACTATCTTACTCCCATCCTACTTGCATAAATGCAGAGATAAAGATGGATAGCTTAATAAAAAAAGGAAGAATCTGAAATTCTTAGTAGATAAGGAAACACGTGGTATTTTCTTTTTGCATATTTTTTATTTCCAGTATTTATAATTTTATTTAATTTAAATATATTTTTGTTCTTTATTTTATTTTCTATCACTATTTATTCCCAATATACCCTCTTCCACCTCCACCTATCTCCCTCCACCACGCTGTAATCTGTGTTCATGAGTTCTTTTTCTTTTTTCTGTTTTTATTGATTTTTTTACAGAGAGGAAGAGAGAGGGATAGAGAGTTAGAAACATCAATGAGAGAGAATCATCTATCAGCTGCCTCTTGCACACCCCCTATTGGGGATGTGCCAGCAACCAAGGTATATGCCCTTGACCAGAATCGAACCTGGGACCTTTCAGTCCGCAGACAGATGCTCTATTCACTGAGCCAAACTGGTTTTGGCTCTTTTTCTTTTTGTTTATTTTCTCTTAATAAGCTTTTTCTTTGTGCTCATGAAAGATGTAAAAGTTTAATATAAGAAATGTTTAATATCCTTGACTTTTTTGTGTAATATAAAACTTCCCCATCATTAAAAACCAGCAAGCATCCCCAATAATGGGACAACCAGACATGAGAAGCATCCTACCGTGATGGAATAAGTACATACATCTACACAGCATTCTGGCCAAAAAAATGTTTCATCTGAATTTAGCCATGAAGAAACAGGCAAATCCAGGATGGAAGATTTTATAAGGTAACTGGCCTGAACGCTTCAAATAAGTCAATGTTATGAAAAGCAAACAAAACAAAAGGCATGGAGGTTGTTCTAGAATCTAGATTTAGAAAGAAGCAATAAAACAACCAAATGATTCATTATATGGACCTTGACTGGATCCTGGATTAGGAGCTAAACAGCTTAAAAGATATTTTGAGGTCAACTGGAGGAATTTAAATTTAGACTATATGTCAGAAATTACCATTGAATCAAAATTAAGTGTCTGGGTATGAATAATGTTCTTATGCCTAGGTAAGATTACATTCTTATTCTTAGGAGATGCGTATTAGAGTTTTTAGGTAGGGGTAAAGTGTCAGGATCTTCCTTCACTTTCTTTCTTTTTTTTTTTTTTTAAATATATATATATATATATATATATATATATATATATATATATTATTAATTTTGTACAAAGAGGAAGGGAGAGAGATAGAGAGTTAGAAACATCGATGAGAGAGAGTCATCGATCAGCTGCCTCTTGCACACCCCCTACTGGTGATATGCCCGCAACCAAGGTACATGCCCTTGACCGGAATCGAACCCGGGACCTTTCAGTCCCCAAGCCGACGCTCTATCCATTGAGCCAAGCCGGTTTCGGCTTCCTTCACTTTCATATGGTCCAGCTGGCCCACCCAGGCCAATACAGAGTCCAGCCCTGCATTCACTCAGCATTCATCCCAGTAATATTTCCTCAACTTCCACTTTACTCTAAGATACATTACAGAATTCCCAAGGAGAAAAGTATAAATTCCTGCAATTCCCACATTATTCTCACAACATACATATATGTACCATGGATTAATAGAGAGTTCTAATTATCATACATATTTTTCTTATGTAATATGATGAAATATTATCAACACAACTTTTGTCCCATGACATTTTCTTTAAAAGTGTTCAAAATACATCCCAAACTACTAATAAAAGCAAAAATAAGTAAAAAAATGGAAATATCTCTATTACTTTTCTCATTATAAAAGCAATACATATACTTCGCTAAAAAAGAAAATAAAAATAAATTGTCCATCTCACCACTTAGCCACAATCATTACTAATAAGTTGGTATATATCCTTCCAAATTATATATTTTTATACAACTTTTACCCCCAAATTGATCATAAATATTGTTTCTTCTCTACTTTATATATGATGGACATCTTTCTGTTTCTACAAATACAAATGAACATCATCATCTAAATGATATTATACATCATGTTATGAATTTATTCACTACTCCATTGATAGGCATTTTGGTCACCTATTTTCATTATTATGACAATAATTGAATGAATATCTTTGTACCTAGATCTGTGGATCTTTGTATAACTACATCTTTGGAGTTAATTCTTAGAAGCAGACATGCTCTACTTTGCTATAGTCACCAACCTGTGGATTGTGCCAACCACACATGGCAATGTGTGGGATCATCTTCTCCTCGACAGTGCTAATCCTTCAAATCCTTTCCAGTATGACAGGTAGAAAATGCATCTTAGTCCTATTTTTATCATGCTTATTAGAGGTTTGAACATCATTTTAGTGTTTATTATCCACTTCCATTTTTTATGTATCTTTACATCATGATCTTTGCCCACTTCTCAGTTGGGGTGCTCATCCATTTCTTACAATATTTTAGTATTTTATTCTAATCTTTGTAATAATATTCTCAAAAATATTTTTTTCAGTTTAATCCTTGCCCTTTGCTTATGGATTTTTTTTTTTTGCCATTAATGCTTTTAACTATTTTTTCATTTTTTAAAATATATTTTTATTTATTTCAGAGAGGAAGGGAGAGGGAGATAGAGATAGAAACATCAATGATGAGAGAGAATCATTGATTGGCTGCCTCCTGCATGCCCCACACTGGGGATGGAGCCTGCAATCCAGGCATGTATCCTTGATCAGAATTGAACCTGGGAGCCTTTAGTCCGCAGGCCAACGCTCTATCCACTGAGCCAAACTGGTGAGGGCATAAATGCCTTTTAAACTTTTATGTAGACCAAACATGTCAAACTCAAAGGCTAACATGGGTAAAATAAGTTTATGTGGGCTGCAAAAAAACCAAAAGCTTCAATTTTCATAGAAATGTAGGTTTATTTCGATAGAGACATGCTGGATACAAAGGGATGAAATAAATGAGTAATTGTTAACATAAAATAATAGAACATTTTCATAAAAATTAATATTTTTTCTTGAGCATTAACTTACCAGACACTGAATAACTGCACAAATTAATAAGCATAACTCAAATAAACCTTTTTTTTTGTTCTCCAAAAGTGAAATATTTCCTGTTGCATGCACCAAACAGATCAGTCCAATACTAATGACATGGCAATCAGCTGCTAAAATATTTGCTGCTAGTATTAGAGGAGAGAAATGGTGCACCTGTGTGTAAAGCATGTAAGGGAAATGAATGCAACAAGATTATAGTAATCAGTCATTAGGGAACATTGCAGTTCATATATTAATAATTATGTATAGCATGATAGTATAAAAATTAAGTTACAAAATTTTTATTAAAACATTTCTTACATATCATTATATTGGCTGGGCCACAGAAATATTCATTGTGGGCCACATACGGCCTATGGGCTGTGAGTTTGACATGCTTGATGTAGACAGCTATGTCAATATTCTGTTTTTGTATTTATTTTTGTTTTTACTCTGATAGAAGACAGATTTGCACTCATTCCTCAGTCTGTCCTAGGCAATAGAATAAATGCTACATGAATCCTATCCTTTGAAAGTTCTCAGACTTGGAAAACTAAGTTCATGCCTTTAAAAATCACAGAATCATAGACATTAGAGCTGGAAAAATACATGAAATATCCAGGCCAACCCCTTCAGTTTACCAGATAGGGACAGGGGGGCTTCTGAGACCCGAAAGACCACATTGACCTTGGTCACAGAAGAACCTGAAGGCAAAGTCAGGAAAGAAGGCAGAGGCCCTCACTGCTAGTCAGAGTGGAATGAGCACTTATAAAGTCCCTCAGTTTACTCATCTGTGAAATAGGATCAATATCTTCTCTACATGACCTAAAGGGCTGTTTTAGGATGAAATGAGGCAATAACATCTGTGAAATTTCCTCCTGATACACAATAAGCCTGTGAGGAACAGCTTTAGTAACAGTAGTATGCATATAATATATGTGTATATACATAAATACAAATACACACATACTAGCATGTATGCACACATGCTAGTATGTGTGTATTTGTATTTATGTGCATACATGCTAGTATGTGTGTATTTGTATTTATGTGCATACATGCTAGTATGTGTGTATTTGTATTTATGTATATACACATATATTATATGCATACTACTTCTTTGTTCCTGATTTTTTGCCACTAGGAGAAAAACTATCAATAATTAGAATTAAAATTGATCAAGATTAATCTTTCGGTTGTTTAGAGTTTTTTTTTAGCCTCTTTGCTAGCTTTCAATCTTAAGAAACTCAAGTGTCTTTTCTTCTCTATGGACTTCCATCCAGAGTGGTAAAGAAGGAGCATCGAAAATGCTGAACTGACTTCATTATCTGTGGGAACCGAAATCTGGCAGAAATAACCCAATTTTCTTGTAAAAGTTAAAATAGAGAAGGAGACACATACACACACACACACACACACACACACACACACACACACACACGATGTTAACACAATCTGCTTGAATAGCAGAGCTAAGATTTTTCAGGGTGAGTCACAGGAGAAAATATTTAACTCTTTCAATGCTAAAACAATGACATTTCATAATCTATGGCCTTTTTCCAATGAGAATGCAATCTCAGTGGAAAGAAGGAGGGTGTGCTTGGTGAGTCCACTTTTAATGGGCACCCTCCTTCTTCCCACTGAGATCACATTCTCATTGGGAAATGGCCATAGGCTATGAAATGTTAATTTTTATCATCTCCTGCGACTAGGAACCCTGCTGGTGGGAATGCAGACTGGTGCAGCCACTGTGGAGAATAGTATGGCGTTTCCTCAAAAAACTAAAAATGGAATTCCCACTTGACCCAGTAATCCTACTTCTAGGAATATAGCCCAAGAAACTAGAAACAACAATCAGAAAGTATATATGCACTCCTATGCTCACAGCAGCACAATTCACCATAGCTAATATTTGGAAACAGCCTAAGTGCCCATCAGCAGATGAGTGGATTAGAAAACTGTGGTACATCTACACAATGGAATACTACATTGCAGTAAAAAGGAAGGAACTCACCAAGGATGTCTGTAAAGCAAATAGCCTTGGTAGGGAGAGATAAGGTATCCCAATGGAGCAAAGCACAGACATGCCTACTGTCCATTGTAAAAGATTCGAGTTCCCTAACTTGGGGTTCCTCTCCTATAACACAAGCTACTGCATGTGGAGTGTCACTTGAAACTCTTCACAGCACCTTACGGAAAATTGGAGCTCAGGGAACCATAAAATAATACTGTAGCAACTGCTATTTCCCTTGCTTCTGACCCAGGCGTCCTGTCTTCTGTCAACATCCATGACACTGGGAGAGTTAACTTGTTGGCTTGACATATATTTTTGTGAACATGTCTCTTTAAGCCACTTTTAACTGTAAAATATGTTGGTTTTTCTCCCTTCCACCACTCCAACCACTGGCTATCAACCAACTGTTCTTGAGCATCTGCTTATGCCCTGCCACTAACGACCAACAGAGACAATCACCCATCATCAACCATACAGAATTTTCAAAATATATACATGCATTGTTTCCCTTCTGAAGAAAATGATACTTTGCTCTCTGCAAGGATCATGCCATTTTCAGGGAGAAACATAAGTGAAGCCAAGCTCTAAAAATCAAGCACCTGCAAAATACACAGCAAAAGCAGGTCTGGCAAAAGAATCCAAAGAAAAAGGGGAAATGAAAGATCAGGGACCCAGAAGTGAACAACCCACCCCTCCATCCCCAAGCATTAGAATGGAAATGCTGACGCTTATTAATACAGAACATGAAAACCAATCTCTCCCACAGACTGGGCAGACATCTCTGCACAGCATTTCCAGGTTTACTGGCAGGCAAGTTACAACAGAGCCTTTGGGGATTTGTTCTGTGGCTCATCTTCCACCTGGAAAGAAAGCTGGCATCAGGTTCAGAACAATACTCTTTGAGATCAAGGAAATGACCTTAGACTGCAGCATGACAAGAGTTGGCTAGGAAAAAAATCACAGACAAGTAAGCCCAGACACACAATTTAAAAGTGACTGAGTTGCTGTCAAAGTTTTCCCCTCTGAGATTGATTCTCACTGGCTGGGATGAAACCTCTTGAAGGCTCAGGCCCAAAGTGACCTCTCTGAGTGCTCTGAAGGGAAGAAATGCGAGAGGGAGGAACACACAGAAACTTACCCAATGGTCGGGCTGATGTTGTGGTCAAAGTGATCCTGGACAAATCGACACACAATGCTCGATTTCCCAACCCCGGTGTCCTGGAAAAGAAGGAGGACACGCCATGAAGATCCACGGTGCTAATTATAAACGAGTATAAACACAGAACAAGAGGACAGGGAGGTCATGTCTGGTTAATTGTGTGGGGGGAGTGGTGAGGGGGTATATTTTCTCCTATTTCTTACCAGTAATTTCTATAATGAAATTGTATTGCTTTCATAGAAAGAAAAGAAGTATGGTAAAAATAAGCTTTAGAAACATGTCCTACATCATATAATAATTAAACGAGAACTGGCATGTCCACAATACATATATTTTCAGAAATTTGGAAATTTTTAGAACAGTCTAGACAAGTTTGGCAAAACACCACACTATTTTGGTAAAGATAGAATTGATTTTGTTCAAAACTTCAGTGTTCAGAAAAATCTATTTTTCTAGGTATCACCTTGTGAGATCTATGAATTTTAATTTCTGTATTTCTTTTTTGTAAGTTTTTTTTTCATTGAGAGAGAGAGAGAGAGAGAGAGAGAAACATCTGTTTGTTATTGCACTTATCTATGCATTCATTGTTGACTCCTGTATGTGTCCTGACCAGAGATTGAATCCACAATCTTGGTGTATCAAGAAGATGCTCTAACAAACTGAACTACTTAGCCAAGGCTATAATTGCTATATTTCTGACATTTTCTCTTTAGAACCTGATGTTTGCATAATAATCTCCAGTTATGCTTAATTATATGAATTCATTTCAGCTCTTTATTAAATAATTCTTCTAAGCTAATTAGGATAGAGGTCTTATTACACATTGGAAATCAAATATATATACTAGTATTTCTACCCAGTCCCTTCCAAAACCCTTGCAAAATGGTTTAAGGAATAAAATATACAAGGTCAAAAGATAGGAGAAGAGATAACACCAGACAAATGAAGTCAATGAAAAGCACTTGGCCGAATGGTCACTGAGAAAGAAGCGCTGGAGCCTTAAATGCCTGCAGGAAGGAAAGCTAATGAGAAGCAAGTAATTCATGCCACGGAACCCTGAATATATAAAGAACTGAAGGAGCAAGTTGAAATCACGGTCAGTGAAAGGTTCACACAAGCATACCCTTAGCGCTCCAACCTCATACCAGGGAACAGACCCTCCTGATGGGAGGTGACTCTCCAGGAAACCTGCACCGAGCGCAGCTGGGTTTGGGCACTTCAGGGACAGCTCAAGGGAGCGCCTGATACTATTCCCCGCCCTGTGCAAGCCCAGACAGCAGAGGCAGGGATTCCCACCCTGGTGAGAGGTGAGACTGCAACTCCAGATGCTTCGAGTCCCCCCACTAAAGGCCACGTGAGCACCAGTGGACAAGCCTCAGTGCAAACAAAGCTTTGGGTACTTTAGTCTTAAAAGAAACAGCTAAGAAGTACCAGACCTTTATACACACAAGAAAGCAGGATGCTCATTCAGAAAGTAAGGCTGATCTTACTCTCTCAGAAATCACAAATACAACGGTGGAAATTTCAAAGGAAGAATTACAAAACAAAGTTGGGAGATAGTCCAGAAAAGAGAACAAAGCAGCTGCCAATACCTCCTCTTCCCAGAGGGGTGACAAGGCCAAAAGAGGCGAGGTCGGTCTACTATCAACACGGAAGTCCTCGTCCAACTGTGCTTATCGGAAAGGATCTGGACACATCTGGAGATCTCTAAGTGAAAGGGAAATGAGGCCCAAAAAGGAAAAAAAAATTGCCATACAGTACCTAGTTTAAAGGTACAACTTTAAAAACGTAAATATGAAGAAGAAAATGTTTAAAACTCTGAGAAATGTGTTTTTCTTTAGACACAAATATGAAATAAGATTTGAAATACCAACTGGCAATCTGAATTCGTTTTACTCCTCCTCGCTCCTATATGGAGGGGGCAATTCCAGCAAACCTCAGGGAAGAGGGGCCCTGGCTGGTTGTACTCATCAGAAAATCATTCCCCAGAGGTCTCCCCCGCCAATGAGAGCGGCCTTCGGGCTCCGAGCCATCAGAAGACAACGGCGCCAACAGCCATTTATCTGCAGTGAGCAGATCGATGTGCAGAGTTCAGAGAGGAGACGGCAGAATTAAAACTTCAGCTCCTCAGATTCCAAATCAATGCGGCTGCTATTTCTGAGCGGCACTGCACCCTCACTATGGATTCTGGCTAACGTTCCCCGCACTCCCCCAAACCGCAGCTCAGTTCTTTTCATCTCAGCTGCTTTTAACTCCCCCTGTGGGTGAGCGGCTCCTGGCCCTCCTTTGAAACTGAAGAACGGTGCTGCCTTAACCTTGAAGACAAGGAAACCCCGCTCTTTTACAGAGTGAACTGTTTTCTGCAAACTGCCAACACTGGCCACACTGATTTTTATTTTATCACTGCCACGTTCGTGGGGTGCAACCCCTCCCCAATGCCACGCAGCTTCTAAATTTATTATTCCACAAGAAATCCTAAGTAATTCATCCCTTGCCTCTCTGAGCATGTGAAGCCATTCCCACAAAGGGAAGGAAGGCAGGTGAATGCGAGGGTCTGTCTTGCCCCTCTCCAGACCACTCGATCACAGTTTAGAAATTCTCTTTCTCAGGACACTTCTGTGCATCCATTGTCCACAGGGGGCCCAGCAAGCAATCATCAAGTGCTACCTCCCACGTGCCAACTGTAGGCGAGCCCTGACCAATGGGTGGTAACCTGGCCCCGCCTGGCTTCCTGGTCTCAGATCCCAGAGAGAGCGGCCTCCTGGGTTCTGAGCTGTAATAAAACAACTGCACCAGAAGCCGTTCATCTGCACTGTGCACATCAATGTGCAGAGGTCAGAGGTCCACGACCATGGGAAGTGCCGGCAGAGGCAAGTTCCGGCACACAGGGGTGGGCAGGGCTGCTCTGCCTGTGACTAACCCACTGCCCAGGGATCAGGAGACAAATCCTTACCTCCCAAGTCTTGTGCTTTTTTGGCCCTCTTTGGTGTCCTTTCAACTTATGCCAGGCTCATCCTCCTTCCAAGCTGAGAAAATGAGCCCCCTGAAATGCCCCTCGCTCATCCCAGCCCCTCCCTGCTGTTAGCGGCATGGCACTCTCTCTGTGGTCGGCCTTGGGTGTACAGACTTTGGCTGCAAAGCATGTCTGCAGTCATGACTCTGCTCTAAGAAGCTCATTTTGGAGTCTATCCATTCACTCTACCCAAGAGCTCTGCTCAAAACAACTGGCTCTAAATCCCCCAAACAGCCAAGCAGCTCCTGCAAAGGTGACCCTCAAAACACCCCTGAAGATGGAAAATTCAAAAGCCATCTTATTCATCTCTACTCATCAACTTCTACAGACAACTCAAGCTACAACACCAGCTTTTCTGAATCGTTCAAGCAGCAAACCTGCTCAAATGTGGATTTAACAATCAATTCTTCGGTCAAATATAATCAGTGTCTCTTGTCCTTTTACTTCTTTTCTTATACATTTGAAATAACAGAACAAACGGATAGGCAAAGTTTTCGTTTGTTTCAGAAAATAAAATATTTTTACAAAAACAAAACAAAACAAAAAACACAACCTCAAATCATCTCTGAACAATGGCTTTGTGAGGGCTCAAGAAATGACCTCCAGAACCTCCTTCTCCCAGGCCCCTGCTATTCCCCTGCTGGCCACCAGGGGAAGGCCCTGCTCAAGGATAGATTGCTGGGGTGGCCTGAAGCCAGGAGACTGGGCAATTTTCATGAATCACTCAGCTTCGTGATTTCCTTTCCTGAAGGAACCTCATTCAGACATGACACGTACACAAGAGGAAAATGTTGCCTGTGAGTCATGACTGTCACACAGGAATACATACAGGTTTAAAGCAGGAAAAGGGAAGAAAGCCTACTGGGTGAATAAAGGAGTCAGTGAAGAAAGAGAAAAGATGAGAGAGGAGGGTCATGGCTGCCCACCAATCTCTAAAGGCCCCTGTATCTGTAGTGGATTTACAGCAATGGAAGGGAACTTGTCCGTGCATGTGTTTTACCATTCTATGAAAATGTCGTGGCCCATCTTGCAAATCTCCTAGTTTGCAAAAGAGGAAGTTGTGTCACACAACTGGCCGATAAAGTCAGAACCAAATTTTCTGAGTCCCACTGAAAACCTCTTAAGGTTCTGACCTAGAAAAGGCCCATTTTCTAGGATTCACAAGGAATACTTTTATTACAGCTTTCCAGTTTTACCTTCCATAGAGTATCCTGTGTTCTCAAAATATAGCTGCTGAGTGTTTTGTTGTTGTTGCCTATAATGCGGAGGACATACTACCAACTACTGGGTAGTATGAATCCACAAATCAAAAATAAAGTTCGCTATATCTTGCCTCAAGGATAACCAGTGTTTCACTGTATCCCCTGTAAGGTTGATGTCAGATGTATTCTGAAGTCTAGCAATCAGTCCCAGCTAACTGGGAACTGGATCTCTCATGATATTCTTCCCATATACATTATTTATTGGGGCTCATTAAAAACAATTCTCTGAGAACAACCACTTACTCTGAGACATGACAATCTCTGCTTTTGCCATGTAAAAATTCTAATCATTATCTGATTCGCTCCCAAACTCCTGCAAAGGGCTTCTGGTAGGAATTCCTACCTCCCAAGATAAAGAATAGTAAATCCTACAAAGATATATCACTGCTACCTCATCCTCTCTGATGGAAGACATCACCAATCAATTCAGAACACATTATGTTATTGAACCTGAAAAAGCCCTCAAAATCTTTTCAATCCAGCTCTGCAGAGAATCACTACAACTCAGAACAAATGCTGTCCTCTTCCATGGCTGACTGTTCCCACTCTTACTAAGTGCTGCTCTGCAGCTGCTTTGGACACCTTTATAGGTAGTAAGGTTTTGGAGGAAACTAGTAAGGAAAATACAATGTTGATAACGTTATAAATCAACATGCCTCTTATGGAAAGGAAATCACAGACCATAACAAGACACACAGATACAGGAATTCCACTACTAAGATTAATTGAAAGAAGGAAAAATTATCACACAAAAAGTTAATTATTTATAAGAATTAGAAATGGC